CATGATAGATCCCAATTGAGCGGCGGCGGCCGGCCTAAGGGCCGGCGCGCAATAGCGCTCGCCGCCGCATGGCTCCCCATGCGCTGGGGGCCCACCCTCCGGGAGCCAGCAGGCAGGAAGCTAGCCAGCCGGAAGACTGGCGCTCCCCACTCGCAGCTCCCTGTGTGCCAGAAGCCCTCCTTCCGGGGAACCACGAGGCCGGGAGTGAGTCGCCGGTCCATTATTTGCATATTTTTGTTTTTTTATTTTGAGACAAGCTACCTAAGTTGCCAAGTTCCCCAGGCTGGTTTACAACTTGCAGTTCTCGTGCATCAGTGTCTTGGTTACTTTTCTCTCGTTGCTGGGACAAAATACCTGACACCCAAAATTAAGGAAGGAAAGGTTTATTTCACTTACAGTTTGTGGAGGTTTCAGTTCATACTTGGCAAGTTACAAGGCAGAGTGGCACATGGCAGAGGGCTACAGCTCAGGGCGGCAGAACACAGCAAAGCAACAACACAAAAGCCAGGAATGGCCGCAGGCAACCTCTTTTCTCTCCCTTACATATGCAAACTGTCCACCCCAGGGCGGGTGTAGCTCTCACACACATAACCAATCAAACTCTAAAAGCCTGCCCTATGACCACATGAGGCTTTGGGGGGGGGGGGGGACACAGACATGAACCATAACAGCCTCCCAGAGTGATGGAATTATAGGCACATGCCACTGCACCTGGTTCCTTTTTTCTCTCCAGTGCTGGGGATTGAATCCAGGGCCTTTGCACTGAGCTACATTCCAGCCTCTTTATTTTTTATTTTGAGATAGGTCTAAGTTGCTACATTGTCCAGGCTGGGCTTGAACTTAGGATACTCCTGTCTCACTCTTCTAGAGTTCTGGGATTACTTGTATACATTACCATACCTAGCTCACAGGTTTTTATCATAGCACTGGATGAATTCTGACAAATGCATATATCTTTGTATTCAGTAATCCATAGAGCAACAGAGCAAAGCTTCAAGATGTTCCTCAGGCTCTTCCCTGTCCTGTATAGGTGGCCACCATTCTGTCTTTTTTTTTTTTTTTTCCGTTTTTTTTCTGGTAACGGGAATCAAACTCACGACCTCGCGCTTGCCAGGCAGGTGATGTGCCGCTGAGCTAAATCCCCAGCCCCCATTCTGTCTTTCTGGCCTAGACTAGTGTCTTATTCTAGGGCATCCTGTGAATGGATCACACAGCCTGAGCCCTTTTCTGTAGGTTTCAGTTACTTGGCATGGTTTGTATTTCCCCATGTTGCTTTCTGTGCTGAGTACTATCATGTGCACACCAGATAGATCATTGATCCTCTCTTGATGGGCCTCTTCTCGAGTTTGTGCCATTATGACTGCAGCTGCCAAGAGCATCTTGGGCAAGTCTTGCTGTGGACATATGTTGTTGCTTCTCTTGGGTAAATGCTGGGAAAGGAGTCACTGGGCCAGGGGTGGGTGCATATTTAATTGGGTGAGAACCTTCAGGGTGTCTTCCTATGGCTGTGCCTTGGCATTGTGGCGGTGTGTTTGGCTGTGGCATCTACATCCGTGTTCTTGTCAGTGTCTGGTTATGTGGTTCCTTGGTATTTGTTTCTGTGGTGACTAATGTAGTTGAGTTCATTTCATGTATGTTAGCTATTTTGTTTCTCACTGAAGTTTCTGTTCACAAGTTTTGCCCTGTTTTTTGGCCTTTGGTTCCTTTGTTTTGAGACAGGGTCTTGCTGTGTAGTTCAGGCTATCCTTGAACTCACTGTGAAGCCCAGAATGCCCTCAAACTCCTGGCAATCCGCCTGCCTCAGTCTCCTGAGTGCTGGGATTACAGGAGTGTGCCTCCACACCCTGCCTGCCCTCCAGCCCATAGTTGGCTATTGCTGGCCTCCATGTTAGTGTGGTGTGTCTCACTGTGGGACAGCTGGTGCTAGCACATCACAGCCCAGCCCAGGGGTATGTGAGGGTCACTTTTGGGATGCACATACTGTGGTTTGGACAGATGTGTGTGGTTCTTACCCACTTCCATACTGCACAGGTGTCCTGGCCTAAACCCCTGTGTTCCACCTTGTCACCCCTCTTCCTCCAGGCAGTAGCCGCTGCTAATCTTTTTCCTACAGTTTTGTCTTTTCCTTCCAGAGTGTCATGGAGTCAAGTCACACAGCATGGCCCTTTGCCTCTGATTGCTGTTTCTGTTGTCTTGCTTCTGTGTCATTGATTTCTGCCTTCTTTACTTTCAGTTCTTCTCACTAGTTGTCTCCCTGTTGCTTCTTCCATGATGAAGCTGGTACCTGTAGGATAGAGAAGTGATGTTCCTTCCTCCAAGGGCTTGGCACCCAGGCTCTGCTGCCTGTGACTTGGGTTGGAAGATCGTGGGCTTTCTTTCTCCTTGCATGTCAAGGTCCCTGGGCTTCATCTCACACCTGGTCACACCTGCTCTGGGCTCTAACTCAGCACCAAATTTTCTTATTTCTTAAGCTGGCGGCAGACTATCACATTTTGTTAATGTGATGCTGAGATAGATACAGCGTCCTGAGGCAGCTGACACAGACTACTGGAGAGGGACCCAGACATGCAGAAGTGGTGTGTGTGTCCAGCAGTCAGCACTACAGTGCTGGTGCTCAAGGGGACAGCTGAAAGGAGACTTGTACTTGCTGAGCACAGTTAGCACTGAGTGACATTTCCAGCCAGTGGTGTTCATTTGAATAAACTTCACTGACAGTAGCAGCCCTACTAAGGACCAGTTTTCTGTTGTCTGTGCCATCTGAATTTGGACTCGCTTAGCACATGTCCTTGATACTGTTTGCTCATCTTTTGAGGGTGAGACCAGGTCCCACTCTAGAGTCCTTTCAGCTGTCCCCTTGAGCACCAGCACTGTAGTGCTGACTGCTGGACACACACACCACTTCTGCATGTCTGGGTCCCTCTCCAGTAGTCTGTGTCAGCTGCCTCAGGACGCTGCTGAGTGCTGGGCAGGCCCTCAGCAAGAACTCGAGGAGGGGAGCCTGAGTGTGGTCACTTGTACATTTCTGCTTCAGGGACAAAGAGCCTTGGTGTGGTAAGCAGTGGTGGGCAGGCAGGTGGTGGTCTGTGGAACCCTGTGCTTTCTCAAGGGTGTGTTTGATTCCCCAGTGTGGCTCCCAGCATCTGTAATAGCCCTTGTCCTAGTTCTCTGTGACAACACTGCCCCCGTGCCCTGATCTGGGGGACAGAAAGTCTTGGCCAGGCCTTAGGTTCAGGTAGCCTTTGTTTACTGATCAGTGCCAACTTGAGAGCAGCAGGTGTGGCTCGGCTCTTGTGTGTGCGGATGCTCCTTAACCCTGGCTGCAGACATGCTCCTTGACCTCAGCGACCTGCTTCAGGTAGATCACTTTTCTTCTTCCTAGGGATTCCTTATCCAAGGGATGGCTGGGAGGCCCCCATCTATGGGGGCAGCAGCTTACATAGCTGTGGTTAGGTGCACCAGGGTTTTGAAGGGCAGCTCCCCATGGGCTTATAGTCGTAGTGCTACCTAGAGCCCAGAGGCCTGCATTGGAAGCACAGGAGAAACCTGTGGAACTTTGTCCTTGGTAAAGGGAAATCTTTAAAAGGAAAAAGTGGACCCCCTGTAGGCATTTTAAACAGTGGGAAAGCCTTATACTTACCCTTTTTATAGTCATGTTTTCTGGGTTCAGAGAAAGCATTTTCTGTTGCATCTCTCATTTCCCAACAAGTGAATGTTGTGAGAAAACCCAGCCAGCGACACTCATGGGCAGGAGAGGAGGCACTAAGACCTTGCACTGTGTTCCCATGGACAGCTCTGGAGGGCTGGCTGGGGACTAACTCAAGTCCTCAGCTGGGTTGTGGCTGGGCCTTGAGGTCCATAGTGATCACTCTGAGGATTAGTAAAGAGAAATGCCATTGAAAATTAAGGTGACGAGTGTGAAGATGGGATGGATTTCACACTGAAATGAAGTCTTCTATCCAGATCTGACAGGCCCCCAGGGTCTTGGGACCCCGTAAGCCGGGATGTCACCTCTGGTGCCTGGGCCTTGGTGCCCTCCAGTACTCTATCTACCAGTAGTTGAGTCCCTCTGGCTCACATGGTGCCCTGTATTTTTGACTTCCCAGTTGTCTTTATAAATGGCATCCCTCAGCAGTTATTCGGAAATATTTTGTGAAGCTAAAAATAACCTGTTGGAATTGTGATCATCCAGTGACTTCACATTCCAAATGTGCTGCACTCAGTTCAGGGCAAGGTCGTTTGACTCCCAACTCCAAGCCAATGACTTCCCAGAAAAGACAGGCTGAGGCTAGGTCCTTGGCCTCGGCTAGGCAGCAGGAAGTGGCTCGACAGCATTTGGAGGCAGAGTAGGATGCAGCAGTCAGCTCCAGCGTCACAGCTTTGGAAAGAGAAGCCAGGTAGGGTGTCTAGACAGAAGGTGGCCAGGAAGGGCTAAGGACCGTGCTGGGCAGGCAGAGCCACATGGTCAGGGCCTCTGACACGGTAGCTAGTGAGGCAGAGCTGAGTGTGAGGCCTTGGTGCCTGTGGGAGGCTGGGCTTTGTTGGCAGCTGGGATCTGGAGGGGCCAGCAGGTAAGGACCAGGCAAAACTGACTCCTCCCTGGAACGGTCCGTAACTGGTTCTTCTCTTCCCCTGAGATCTCCTTGGACCAACTTTCTTAGGACCTGTGTGTGATACATGCCCTCACCCTTAAGGACCTCACCCAGGAGGTCTACCTCCCAAAAAGGCTGGTTACTTTGAGGAAATAGGTAAAAGATTGAATTGGAAGAGACCACCCTGTTTAGATTTAGTTCTTGATTCACACATATCCCAGAGTTAACCGTCAACTCTTAGGGACCTGGAGGACAGAAAGTACACCTGTTGTGAGTTGAAGGAGGCGACTGAACAGTCTCCTGCTGCCTGGATATGGAGTCTCTGTCTCACCCTCCCTACTCCTGGGCTCTACGAGCTAACATGTCTCAAGAGTTCCCTCCAGCTCCTACCTCTACACTGTCATTTCTTAGACCCCCTGGTCCTTTCAAGTCTACAGGGACCCCAGAGTGCTACTTTCATGCCAGGAAAAAGGAACTTAGCCAAGGGCCCACAGGCCAGGTTTGCTTAGGCAAGTTTGTCTTTGGAAAAGCCAGAGTCAAAGGGCCAGTTACACTGTAAGGCCTGGAAGTCCCAGTGACAGGCCTGGGATGAAGAGAGCAACAGGGTGCCCTGGGGGCTCCCAGCCCTGCCTGCCGTCCAAGCTTCCGTCTGGATTGCTTGTCCTACACCTACCTTGACTCTTCAGAAGCATCCTCATCCACCTGCTGCTCAGGTCAGCACTGGGCTCCTTTGGGATTGCACTGAGGTGCTAAGCTATACCTGGAGTTCGGCATACAAGCACTCCCACCACAGACTGACAGCTCTGAGACAGTCCTGGGGCTGGGCCCTACCTCCTACAACCACCGGGTGGCAAGGAAGAGAGGTGGCTGATGGGAGCTAGTGATGGGAGCATTGGAGAAACATAAGACTTCTTGGGCCCACAGAGCCATGGGGTGGAGGTGGTGTGGCCAGGCAAGCAGGCCTTGCTTGGTTTTGAATCAAACATTGTGTGCGCAGCATGATCACACCTGACCAGTTCCCTTCAGGCAGGTCTAAGCAAATGGATCGGTGGTGAGGCAGTGGCCTGGAGGTGGCAGGAAGCCTATTCTTGTGTGACTTGGGGGCCAGTGGAGACAGCCACTCTAGGGGAGGGGTACCACACAGGTCAGCAGGGGCTTTGACACTCGAGTCTTTAAGGACTAAACAAAAATAGGAATATTGTGGAGGGACAATAGGTGCTGGGGATGTAGCTTAGTAGTAGAATGTTTGCCTGGCATGCATAAGTCCCTATGTTCCAGCTCCAGCTCAACAAACAAAAGAAAAAAGGAAAACATTTCCTCAAACACCAATGCATTTCTGGCTGTGTTCTTCCCACCACAGGTGAACGTGTACGTGCTGGGGAAGACATTTCTGCTCCTAGCAAGGGAGCTCTGCATCAACGCACCAGCTATAGGTATGCCGGGCATGGGCAGGGTGCCACTGGGCCTTTGGAAACCAGCACACCAACGTGCTGGAGAATGGGAGGGCTGGGATATTGAAGTGCAAGACCCCAAGGCAAGAAACACCTCAAATCTGCTGGGAGCCCACCTGGGTGGGGCCTCACTTCTGGTTCAAAACCAGAAGGTTCATTGCTGGTGCCCACCAGGAACAGACAGGGAAAGCTGGGCATAACACCTGGAGTTGGGGGCCTGTCTTGTTCAAGAGATTGAGGAAGATGAACAGCCACCAGGCACCAGGCACCTTGAGGAAGGTAGGACGTCCACATAGACAGGGATGAGAGGCGGCTTCTGGAGATGAGTGCTCTCCCTAGCCTTTTGAGTTTTATAAGGAAACCGGTTGTTGTACCTGGCCTAGAGGGGCTTCTTACTGGTGACTGTCAGCATGTGGAAGTGTCTTCTTGGTAGTCAGGAAGCACCACCGGGAGCCAGGGTGGTGCTGGGAGCCTATTCCTGGGTTACTACCTCTGTGGTCATCCTTCCTTCCCTCTGGAGATCAAGCTGGGATTTTTCCAGGACAAAGCAGAGCCATGCAGTGCACACTTGGGAAGACAGGCTGGGGCCTGAGAATCTTTTACCCACAGTGTACCTCAGCTGAGGTACCAGTAATGCTTTTGGGAAGTGTACCTAGCCACAGCCCAGAGGCACAGGGGCCTAGGGTACAGATGGGCACCTCTGGGACAGTTTCTTTCTAACCACTCAGTACTGATCAACATTGCAGACCTTCCCATGACAGCAGCTTTTGGAGAGAGTGCCCCCAGCATAAAGCCAATAGCCACTTATCCATACGTGGATCTTGTTTTGCAAAACCTTTATTATGAAAATCCACTTAAATAGGTAAACTATTTTAAGTGACTTTTCGGTGACCTTTATTTGAAGGGAGGGTCTCCAGGCAAGCTTGGAACTAGTTGGAATCCAAAAGGCTGAGAGGAACATCCAAGTGCCCAAAGCGTGGTTGCCGCTGGGCAGGAATCTGGAGACTGGGTTGGGTCCCAACTGTTAACCTCACGGGGCATGTGCCCGATAAACAGGAAACACCAAGCCTCAGCCTCCAGGCTTTGTGTGGAAAAGGTGCCTGTTCACAGATTCAAGCTGATATAAGTAGGGAAACCTTTAACGGTGCCTGTAAGGCAGTCAGCAGTGTCCTGCACCTCCCCTGCACTTCCTGAGTGACTTCTGGCAGAGAAAGGGCCAGGTGTTGTTCCCTCCAGGGCCCCTCAGCCTCAGGCATAGAAGATGAGCTCTGGGATCTGCCCACCCTGGACCCCCGTCCCGTTGGTGCTGTCCGAGGAGCACTGGAACTGGAAGGCCACTTTCCCACACTGCACTTCTGTCATTCCCTCCTGCCCAAAGTAGCTGAGCTCACTGCCATCCAGCACAGCACTGGCTGTGTAGAAGGTATCCTGCTCAACCTGGACTGGATGCTCAAACCAGACTGGGAAGGTATTACTGGAACCATCTGACACAAACTTGGTCAGATTCTGAGCCAGGACCATCCCCAGCCGCTTGAGTTCAATCTTCACACTATACTCTGCCTTCCCAGAGCTGGACCCATACAGACCCAGCCCAGCGATAAACACCCTTCTGTCTACAGCAAACTGGATGCTGTCACAGCGCCCACGGTACCGCCACTGGTTGCTGCGATAGGCAGAAGACTGGAACCGGTGGCACCTCTGAGGGGCAAGGCCTTTCCTCTTGGTCAGGGGAAAGTCAAGGAGGGGTTTGTTGGCAGCAGTGTACCACAGGAAAATGTTGTGGGTCTCCTCCAGTGTTAGGATGTCTGACTGGGCAGCACCATTGGCAAACTCCTCCAGAGTCATGGTTGGAATTCGGACTAGATAGAGGGCTCGTCCTAAAACGTGCCTCTTGTTGTGTGGAGTGATTGGTAGGCCCTGCCTTTTGCACTCCGCCTCAGCCCAGTTCAGGACAGCTTCAAAGACCACCGCCTCCTTGGTGTTGAGGGCCTCCCGAGTCACAATGATCTCCAGTGTCTGTCGGTCGATCTCACAGAAGCCTTCAGAGCGCAGGGCCATCTCGGCCTGTGCATCAATGACCTCCCAACAGCGCTGCGTCAGCTCAGGCTCCTCAAACAGCCGGCTCTGGGACAACAGCACACAGGCGTTTTTGGCTTCCAGACTTGTCTCCAGAAAGTTGACGCAGGCTTTTGCCAAGGCTGGTACAATGTACTTCTTGGCAGCATACAGGGTGGCCAGCACCGTGTCAGCCTCAAGATCGATCTCATCACTGTACATGTACCTGGAAGGCAGGGGCTCCATCAGCCACTGCTGGGTGACCCCTAGTAGGTTGCAAGAGGTGCAAGGGCCAGCAGGGAGGAACGCACCCCAACCCCAGCAGCGCACTTACTTTAGCAAGACCAGGAATGCGGCAGGCTCCACGTCTGGAATGTGGATTTCTGACTTGACTTCCGCAAGGTCCCCGTAGAACATCGCGTAGAAGACCGAGCTGCCGACGGCCAGCACGTACTGTGGGCGAGAGAGAGCCCGTGAGCAGCGGCGCAGCCCCGCAGGCTCGGGGGAGCTGCGTCAATACCCACCTTGTGGGCTGGCACCCGCCGGGCCGCCCCCGGGGGCCCCACGACGAAGTGGACGTCGGCCATGAGCTCGTTGTTGAACATGAGCGCGTTCCGCTCGCGCAGTGTGGGGTGGAAGGCCTGCCAGTGCGGGCTCTCGGAGTTGTTGTTGTCGGGAGCGGGCGGCGCGGGCGCGGGCGGCGGCGG